TAGGCTGCAGTCCATGGGGTTGCAAAGAGTCGGACACGACTGAGCGACTTCACTTTCACTTCTCACTTTCATGCGTTGGAGAAGGAAATGGTGACCCACTCCAGTGTTCTTGCCTGGAGAATCCCAGGGACAGGGGAGCCTGGTGGGCTGCCGTCTATGGGGTCACACAGAGTCGGACACAACTGAAGCGACTTAGCAGCAGTCTTTTGCTCTTTCAAAATCTCTGTGTCCCCTGTATTTATTTCTTCCACTTGTCTAGTTTATCCTCTTTTATTCATGTGAGAGACTTTCTGTGAGTAAATAACCATCCTTGGTCCTAAGTGAGGCAATATCGAAGTCAGAATCTCCTGATGGGTCTCATTGACCAGCATGCTTGGCTTTCAGATGAACCAGGGAAGAACTTGACTACTTTGCAGGATGACATGTAAATAACAATATATAGAGAGGTTTTTTCCCCTTCAGGAGGGGATTTCATTTCTTCAGGGACAGTTCCTCAATATTACTGAGTATGAACATCAGACATTGTTTTGCCTGGGAGTGAAAAGAAATGGGCAAGGGATCTTGATTGTTCTATATTTTGAATTTAATCTTTTAAGCTATTTTTAGCTCAGTATCTCACCCTGCAGTTTGCCATGTTTTGAGCCTCTCCTTGGTTATGTGGGGGCAAATCTGTTTCTTACTCATCCTTGTCTTCCTTCAGATGCAGGATGCATTTTAATCAATACATTCCTTTGCCACCCGATTTCCCAGGTGACACAGTAGTAAAGAATCCACCTGCCAATACAGGAGATGCAAGAGATGTGGGTTCAATCCCTGGATCAGGAAGATCACCTAGAGTAACAAATGGCAACCCAGTCCAGTATTCTTGCCTGGAAAATTTTACAGACAGAAGAGCCTGGTGGGCTACAGTCAATGGGGTCTCAAAGAGTCAGACATGACTAAGAGTGTGCATGCATGCATTAACACATGTGCACACACACACACACACATCTTTAACCACTTCTCAGTCTGCTTGCATTTTTCAGAAATTTGTTGAAACTTCTCACCCATTCCACTCACTAATATCTTCACCCATTTCTTTTTAGCCTTATCAACATACACCTTATTCTAAGTTCTTTTGCCATTGTTATAGCACAATCTCTAGAGGAATAGGATATAAAACCTGTGTAGATATAACCAGAAGTTATAGCTCTTCCTTTCAGAAATGTTATGATGTTGACTGATATTTTGTTTCTCTTGGAATTACAGAAGAAACATTTACTTCTGGGAATATATTTAATATACTGTTGAGAGCGAGTTTTGAAAAATCGTCTATCACTATCTTAGGTATTAAGGCAATCAGAAAAGAATCTGCCTGGTTGAAGTCTCATTTAAAATTTAGCATGACAAAAAGCAGCTTCCCACCATTGGTAGATTAGGAGAACTATGCTCTGAACTAGAATGGGACTGTTTTTATCTGGTATCTGGTGAACTTCATTTATCATCTCTGCTGATATGCTAATCAGGCCAACAGTTTTGGAACATGGAGCCAGTTGGGCTGACCACAGCCAAGAGTTTTGCAAAGTCTGCCAAAGAGCCATCACAGAAAACCTGAGGTCTCATAGAAGTTATGTGTAGAATTTCAGTGGATCTACCTCCATGATTTTTCATTTGTGCCTCAAGTCACTGAGAAACCTTTGACGTGTCCTTTTGTTTTGAAACAGAATCATATTTCTCTCTATATCAAAGAATCTTGCTTTTTAACATGACATAGGCATTATATAGAACCCCAAAATTGTAATACTGTGAAAATAAGAGTCCTTATGACCACAGAGGAAGAATCAACAGAGCCATAACTTTAATGTCTTTGCTGAGATTTTAGTGTGACACCGGGGAGGGGCAGGCAGCAGGGGCAGAGAACACAATGAGTTGATTATTATTTTTAGTAAAATTTTTCCTATGTACCTGACTTATGTTCATGCTAACAAAGCAAACTTTCAACAGGGAATTATCTCTAGGCTCTTAAAGTGTGAAATTTAAGTAGTTGTTCCAATGATGGCCCAACTTCAATAGTATAGAAGGCAGCCTGTATACTTTGTGAACCATAGATAAACAGTGATTATTTCCTACTAAGTGGAATTTAAACCAATGAAAAGTTGATGCTTTTTGCAGTTCAGTTCAGTCATTCAGTCATGTCCGACTCTTTGCAAACCCATGAATTGCAGCACGCCAGGCCTTCCTGTCCATCACCAACTCCCGGAGTCTACCCAGACCCATGTCCATTGAGTCGGTGATGCCATCCAACCATCTCATCCTCTGTCATCCCCTTCTCCTCCTGCCCTCAATTTTTCCCAGCATGGGGTCTTTTCCAGTGAGTCAACTCTTTGCACGAGGTGGCCAAAGTATTGGAGTTTCAGCTTCAGCATCAGTCCTTCCAATGAACACCCAGGACTGATCTCCTTTAGGATGGACTGGCTGGATCTCCTTGCAGTCCAAGGGACTCTCAAGAGTCTTCTCCAACACNTGGAGCTCTCTTGCTGTTTCAATGATCCAGCGGATGTTGGCAACTTGATCTCTGGTTCCTCTGCCTTTTCGAAAACCAGCTTGAACATCTGGAAGTTCACAGTGCACATATTGCTGAAGCCTGACTTGGAGAATTTTAAGCATTACTTTACTAGTGTGTGAGATGAGTACAATTGTGCGGTAGTTTGAGCATTCTTTGGCATTGCCTTTTTTGGGGGGATTGGAATGAAAACTGACCATTTCCAGTCCTGTGGCCACTGCTGAGTTTTCCAAATTTGCTGGCATATTGAGTGCAGCACTTTCACAGCATCATCTTCCAGGATTTGAAATAGCTAAACTGGAATCCATCACCTCCGCTAGCTTTGTTTGCAGTGATGCTTCCTAAGGCTCACTTGACTTCACATTCCAGAATGTCTGGCTCTAGGTGAGCGATCACACCGTCATGATTATCTGGGTCATGAAGATCTTTTTTGTGCAGTTCTTCTGTATATTCTTGCCACCTCTTCTTAATCTCTTCTGCTTCTGTTAGGTCCCTACCATTTCTGTCCTTTATTGAGCCCATCTTTGCATGGAATATGCCCTTGTTATCTCTAATCTTTTTTACATGATTTTAAAAAGTTAAGTTTGGAAGGAAAAGAACACTTATCAGGTAAGCTAAGAATGGGAAAGAAAGTAGAAGTGTGTTACCTCCTAAGACTCAGTTTCTCAAAAGATAGTATCACCCGCTGGCTAAGACTAATTCCACTTCTGAAAGAAAGATCATCTTCCAGTTGACAACTTACTTTATTACTCAGATACTCTCCTGTAACTCATAGTGTTTAAAAGGCAGTGGAAAGCTAATGATTATACCTTAGAGTGTGATATATACACAGGAAGAGAGACATATAGGAAAGTATCAGACAGTGGAGCACAAGCTTTCCAGTCAACTAAGACCTATACTTAAATCCTGGCTCTGTCATCTGATATATTTATAATCGAGCAATTCTTGAGAAACCAACATCAACATATATTAAGGAAACCCAAATAAGGCAAGACATCTCTCCTCAAGGAATTTATGGGAGAGGTAGACAAATAAGTTATTAAGAAGAAAGAATGATGATTGCTATGGTGGAAGAATGTGCAGGGTGCTATGGGGCAGAGAAAGAGGCACTCAAATCAGATGAGATGCCAGGGGAAGCTTACAGAGATGTTAGCTTTTAAAGACCAAAAGGGTGTAGACATAGGAATTCCAGGCAGAAGCTATGTCACAGAAGGTGATGTGTACATGCTCAAGACTTACATTACCTCTTGTAGACATGGAGAGCCAAGGAAAGGTTTTAATTAGAGGATTCAGGTTTTCAAACCAGAATTTTTGATAAAGCAATTGAGGAGTTTCAGAGTGGAGGATGAAGAGACTTGCAGTAGGAAGATTGGTGAGTAGCAGGCACTCCAGTTGAGAAGAGATACAGTGAATACACAGCATGCCAGCTAAAGATGATAAGGTGATGAGGTTAGAGCAAATTCCTTGTCTTAGTTTGCCTGAGACTGTCATGCATGTGCTGTTACTTTTCTCTACTGTTTCTATTTCTTTTCTTTTAATGACCGCATATTGAAAACAAGTCAAATAATCCTCTATTAAATATTGAAACTGTTGTGTGTGAAAAAAAAAAAAAGAAACTGAAAATACCATGCCCCAGGAAACCTTTCAGTTCCTGTGAAGCCAGTCGGTTGGTCAGTTTACCTGAGGCTCTGCAGGTGGGAGTGAAATGGATGGGTACACTGATCCAAATCATATTCAGGTGGTAACTTCTATAAGACTCATAACTAGTTAGATATTGTCAGGGTGGTGACAGAAAGGGAGAAGTTGAAGACACTGATAAGGTTTCTGAGTCAGTTACTGGAGAAGTGAGTTGTACCGTCATCCAAGAGAGACTGAATCGCTGCGTGTGGCTTCTTTCGGATCAGGGCTTTTGCCTCTGCTTCACAGTCCTGGTCAGTAAGGCATCTTTTGCGCGTGTGTTATAAACAGCAATGCCCTCTGTTAATTCTTCAGTTTTGATTGATTTGCAATTTATATCTGAAAAAAAATACAAAACAAACTTGTAGTGACTATATCTTTTGTTGGTGCAGTAAAATGGAAATATGTATCAGTAGCAATATTCAGGCCATGTGTGGCAGAGTGGAGGCAATCTACTTATCTAAAGAGCAGGTATTGGTGTTTGTACTTTTTAAGTTGTTCTTAGTAGGAAAGGACTGAAATTTGTAGTCTGTCTCCCAGAGAGAGTCCATTTAGTTTAAATAACCAAGGTTGATTTGATTCTTTAAATGTGTCAAAAAAATACACTTCAGACTACCATTCTTATGAAATAAACTTTAAATGATGCCTTTTAGAAAAGTCAGGGGAGAAATGAAAAAGCTAGTCAGCTCATTTTAAAATTTTCAAGTGGATATTTGATATTTATGTTGTTTTCTTATTCTCTGGATGATGGATAACATTCCTTGATTCTTTTCCAAACCAGTTTGATTGTACAAGCAACAGATAAAGGCATGCCCAGGCTTTCTGATACAACTGTGATCAAGATACAGGTGACTGACATAAATGACAATGCCCCAACTTTTCTCCCCTCTGAAGCAGTGGAAATTGCAGAAAGTAAGTGTGGTGATTTGAAACAATGGTTCTGATTAACTTGTAGATCATCTACTATTTTTTCAGTTGGATGCTGTGTTAAATATGCACACTATTCCTCAACAACCACACAGCTATAAATTGTGTTTATCTTCATTTTACAGAATGGAAAATGGAGAGTCAAAAATTAAATATAAAATGTCAAAGAAGTTAAAAGTTAAAGTTGGGGTTTGCATTCAAACCAGCAGGAAGCTGATTTCCTAAGGTCAAACCACTACTCCACACAGCTTCTTTTGTATACAGACAGTTCTTAAAAGTGAAATCTGCTCAGTGAAGAAGCATCTTTTGTTGACTATGATGGTCACCCTAAAGCTCCCCTGAGAGAATGCGATGTTATTAGACTGATAACTTTGTCAATCTTTGTGTTAACCAAACTCAGGTTTGGCTGCTCGCCACTTGAAAGCCAATATTCAAGAGGCAAGTGTTGGAAAGGAAAGGTTGGCTTTATTCAGGAGGCCAGTCACTGGGGGAAGAAGGCGTACTTGTGTCCAAAGGCCAATTCCCCAGTGCTAATAGGGGGCAACAGCTTTTAACAGGGAGCCTCACGGGTGTCTGGATAGAGTAAGGGAGCTCCATGCAGAACGGCACAGTCACCTCTGAGGATCAGCTTGAACTTGCCCGTGTGGTAATCCGACCGTTGTCTTGATTATCGTAAGCCCAGTGAGTCTCCAGTTCTGGGACTGGCTGGTTCTCGTTTCTCTGAGACCGGTTCTCAGAGTTGTGGTAGCTTATGTTATGGCCACAGTCTGATCATCACGTAACTTCGTCCACCTGGTGGAGGCTCATTAGCTACAAGACGGCTCATAGAATATGGCTCGGAATGTTATCCATAGCCCTCGAGGAAGAACTAAAGGTCCTTGACTTTGCTCAAGGACCGAACTGTTATTATTTTGTCCTATTTGACTGTTTTTCCTTTGTTTCTGTGTTTCCTCACTTCTCAGATTAAATTTATGTTATTATTATTTGTTATGGGGGCATACTGGGTGGCTTGCAGAATCTGAGTTCTTTGACTCGGAATTTAACCCAGGCCAAAAGCAAGGAGTCCAAACCCATGGACTGCCAGAGAATTCCCTAAATTTATTCTTTGACTAAAGTTTTTTGACAGAAAAAAGACAAGGAAGGGCCATGGAGGAGGGTTTGTCCCAGGAAAGCCCCATAGGGCCCTGCTCATTTTTATTTGCAATATACTGCTGCTGCAATATACTAATGACAAGTAATTAGTGAAGGGAGTTGGATGATTTTTGCAGAGTCATCATTTTCCTCTACTATAAACTAAAGTTTAACATCTGCAGAAAACTTTTATCACATTAATGGTAGAGGTTGAAAATACAAAGTTTTACATGATATGCTGATTAATCTTAATTGTTTGGGTCTCTGGGCTACATGATGACTCCATAGTCTGTGATCTCAAAGTTGTGGGCAATAGCTGTACTGGTAAAACCCAACCCAACTTTTTGTAGTTGAAATTGCAGATAGTGGCCCATCACTTTCCTCTCTGTTTTCACTCTTAATAAACTTATTCCTAAAATGTGCCTAACATTTTGTTATGTTCACTTTCCAAACAAATTACAAACACACTGCTCAAAGAGGGCTATATTCCAGCAATTTTTATATATAAGAATACCTATATATAATTTAAAATATACTAATAAAAAATTGTCTAGTTTTACCTCTCACCTATTTGATGTGTTTTCATCTGCTTTTACTGAAAATGCTATTCTAAAGCACATGCATTGGAATAAAAATGCAGTAATGTGCTCAGAATAAATATATCACAAAAATAAACTGTATATATCAAAACTTACCAGAAGGAGTCAAGTGTAATTGGTGCATGTCAAGGATGTTCAGATTTGAAATATGAAAATTATTAGTCTCATACACAATGGGATTATTCTAAATGCCCTGGACTCTTCTTTCTACCTGTACCATACCTATGAAGTCCAAACCAAAGTCCCTGTCATGGCAGTTTAAAGAACACATATGTCATGTGAGACATTTACCATGTCATCTATTCATGATTTTTTTTGTGCACTATTAGAGATCTTTTGTTATCACCAGTATGAGGTATACTTTCTATAGTCTTGACAATTTTGAGAGTCAGGTCTTAAGAGAAGGAAGCAGTGTGTGCCTCTCAAAAGAAATAATTTTACAAAAATGAATATGAGGAACTAAGTATCTAGCTTCAGTATCCAAACATTTTCATTTAAATCTTGCTTGCTTTTCAGAATTTTATGTTTTGTATTAATGTTATGAATAATAACCTTCTTCCCACCCACATCCCCCATGAATATATGAATTTTATATAGAAATTATATAGTGTAAATAAGTGACTTACAATGTTTCTTGGTTCTGGGATTGTGTGATAAACATGATAAAAAGTGAAATATAAAAATTGAAAATAGTCTACCTCTTCAATTCCCTACTCAGTGGTAAATTGTCACTTTTATTGGCTCATAAATTCTTCAGAGTTTTTATTCAGTTTGTAATGAGCCTTGTATGAGAAATCATGCCAAGAAAGAGAAAATCATATTGGACATAAAATGAAAATGCTTGGATTGAACTATTAAAGAAAATATTTCAAAGGATGACTTTTAATGGAGACTGACAGTGGTCATGACTATTTCAGATTCTTTGCCTGGCACGATTGTGACTCGGATATCAGTTCATGATGTGGATTTGAATCCAGCTTTCACCTTCAGTTTTGTCAAAGAGAGTAATTCTGGAACCAAATTTGCTATTGATCGGAACACTGGGGTAGTGGTGCTGGTTGAAACACTGGATTTTGAAGAAGCTACTAAATATGAGCTACAGATCCAAATTTCAGATTTGGTGCACCAAACAGAGGGGACACTCATTGTCCATGTGCTGGACATCAATGATAACCCACCAGTATTCTCTCAAGATTCTTACCAGGTAAATAGCATAAAGAGATGCTGAAACCATAACCAAACTTGAAAGAATAGGGAATAATGTAAACTTACCATAGTCAACAAAGTAATTTAGACAGACAGATAGTATTCACTGTTTTTACTGCCTAAGTTGATGCTGAGAGTTTTATATTTAGCATCATGGAGAATAGAAGTACATATGGAATTGAATCTCTTATTCAATTCAATTTCTTAAGTATGTAAGTAACATAAGGCTCATAGTTACACAATGTACAGTGTAATGAAACATTAGTGAATACATTAGTGAATGCATTAGCTATCCTCCACTACACAGAAATAATTTAGAAGGAAATATTTTCATAATAAAAATCAATACTGCATGAAACATTTTTAAAAAATTTTTGTTTTTCTGAATTCTGGAACTACTAACACAATCTTCTTAATATGTCCACTCTATAAATTAATAATACCTAATAAAGTGAGGTTCTCTGTTACTTCCATAAGCAAAATAAATAAAAGAGTCAGGTCCTGGCCCTGTTCATGAAAATAGCTGCATTCTTTAAACACAGGGCCTGTCTCCCTTTCTTCCCCTCCTCAGGTCACCATTTCCGAACTGGTGCCTCTGGGGCACCCAGTGCTAACTGTTGTGGCCACAGATGTGGAAAGCAGTGAGAACATCACTTACAGGATCCTTTCCTCTTCTAAGATGTTTTCAGTTGATCCTACCAATGGTGAGTTATTTGTAGTGACTTTAGCATTCATAGGTTTGGGTTACAGAGAGGAAAGCTGAAATAATCCTTTCCAAATATGCCTAAAATAGCCCCCAGGCCCTGCTGCTGGGATCATAGACACCACCTTCTTACTTCTCTTCATGTCAGATGCTATGATAGCAAATACTGGTGCTCCTTCTCTTCTCCAACATCTCAATGGTTGGAAAGAAAAAGGAATTGATTAAATGCTGGCAAATGCACAGAAATTCAGAGACCTCAGTATAGTAAACACCAGTTCATTCAGCCAGCTGATTACAGTTGGGGTAATTAACCAGGCCTCCACAAGAATCAAAGTAAAATGGAAGGGATTCATTTAGAACTGAAGACTGCATGTTACCAGAATTTGGAAGCTTTTTTCCCAAGCCAAGAATAAGAAGTTTGGTAACAGTACCATATATTCAACAAGGAACACAAAAAACTGAAACAGGGAAGGTTTTTGAGCACCTCTATTAAGTGGAGTGGGCTTCCTGGTGGCTCAGATGGTAAAGAATCTGCCTGAAATGCAGGACACCAGCTTCAATCCCTGAGGCAGGGAGATCCCCTGGAGAAGGGAATGCAACTCACTCCAGAATCCTTGCCTAGAGAAGTCCATAGACAGGGTAGCCTGGCAGGCTACAGTCCATAGTGTTGCAAAAAGTCAGACATGACTGAGAGATGTTTACCCATTAAGTAGAATGTTCTGTGGTTTTGATGCTGTTCTGATTTCTTTGATGCCTCCCAAGGCTCTTTGTTTGGTTATTAGAGATCAAGACATTTATGGTTGTGAAATGCATTCAGGCAAGTGATTACAAAAAAGTTAACCATTGTATAGAGAAAATATAACAACAAGTAGAGTCCCTTGGACAGCAAGAAGATCAAACCAGTCAATCCTAAAGGAAATCTACCCTGAATATTCATTGGAAGGACTGATGCTGAAGCTGAAGCTCCAATATGTTGGCCACCTGATGTGAAGAGCTGACTCACTGGAAAAGACTCTGATGCTGGGAAAGATTGAAGGCAGGAGGAGAAGGGGACAACAGAGGATGAGATGGTTGGATGGCATCACAGACTCAATAGACATGAATTTGAGCAAATTCTAGGAGATGGTGAAGGACAGAGAAGCCTGGATTGCTGCAATCCATGAGATCACAAAGAGTCAGACATAACTTAGCAACTGAACAACAGACATTAAAAGCCAAGCTTAATAAAGATGAGTAATTAGTAAAACGCTGTCCATAGCAGAGCACGGTTCAGAAAAATAACAGGGCCTGGGACATGGACATCACCAGATGGTCAACACTGAAATCAGATTGATTATATTCTTTGCAGTCAAAGATGGAGAAGCTCTATACAGTCAGCAAAAAAAAAAAGAAAAAATCTGGAGGTGACTGTGTCTCAGATCATGAACTCCGTATTGCAAAATTCAGAATTAAATTGAAGAAAGTACAAAAAACAACTAGACCGTTCAGATATGACCTAAATCAAATCCCTTATGATTACACAGTGGAAGTGATAA